AATATCTATAATAATGATAATAATATAATAATAATAATAATAATAATAATAATAATAATAATATAATAATAATAATAATAATAATAATAATAATGATAATAGTAACCAATGCAGATAAACATTGACACAAAACTGAAAAGACAGAAACCATAAAAATACGACGTTTAAATAAAACAACAAACAACACGTGACATCCGGAAATAGACTTTTTGACCAGAAAAATGATAGAGATAAAGATTATGCTTTCTGCCGCCTTCTCCACGCCTGTCTCGGGGCGGGCGCTGACCGAGGACGCCGCTTGCGAAAGACACCAGGGCGGCCGGGAGAGGAGGAGGGGGTTTGGGGCGCGAGTTGGGTCTGCGGGAGACTTGTTTTGATAGGCTTGTGGCTTCTTAGTAATGTTTATGACTTGTTTGGTGTTTTATGTCTGGCACTTGTTTGATAATGTTTATGTCTGGCACTTGTTGGTGTTTTATGTCTTCTTAGTAATGTTTATGGCTTGTTTTAATATGTTTATTTCTTTTAGTAATGTTTATGCACTTGTTTGGTGTGTTTATGTTTATGACCAGCCTTGTTAATAATGTTTATACTTTGTTTTATATATTTATTTCATCCTAGTAATGTTTATGCCTATTTGATATGTTTATACCTTGTTATTATTTACATCTTGATTGATATCATTATGTCTTGTTATATATATTTTGTTTATGTGTCTGTTGACCTTTTCATATATATATATATATATATATATATTATATTATATATATATATATATATATATATATATATATATAATATATATAACACACACACACACACACAACACACACACGCACAACACCACACACACACACACACACACACACACACACACACACACACACACACAATCACACACACACACACACACACACACACACACACACACACACACACACACACACAACACACACACACACACACACACACACACACACACACACACACACATATAATATATATATATTATATATATATATATATATATATATATATATGTCTTGTTAGTAATGTTTATACCTTTTTCATATGCTTGTGCCTTGCTCGATATGTGTATGTTTTGTTTGATATGCTCTGTTTGTTTTAGGTTTATATGTTTTGATATGAATCTTCGGAAAGTTAGAATAAGGAAATGTTGTTTTATGAGATGCTTTTGTTGTGTTCAGTTATGGTTTATAAAGCGTATACTTGCCTTCCGGATCTGAAAATAATATAATGACGATAAAAGGATTTCAGTGTCATATTGGTTAAACCAGTTTTCAGATTAAAAAAAGGAAAAAAAGAAAAGAGAGAGAAAAAGAAATAGATAAAAAAGAAAGAAAAGAAAAAAAAGAAAAGAAAAAAAAAATATATATATATACATACATATATATATATATATATATATATATATATATATATATATATATATATATATATATATATATATATTATTGACCAGTTCTTTCACTCTAGAGATTCCTTCACTCTTTCATTATCAGTTTTTTTTAAGTTGCAGCGATTCTTCCCTTCCTTTTCAGACACTGGTAACGAATGTAACAATTAGACGGAAAAATAAAGAAAAGGGAGGGTGATTTCTTATTTTTATGTTGCCTCGATTTAACAGATTGTATTCACGAGGAGGAAGAGAAGACGATGAAGGAGGAGGAGAGAGAAGAAAGAAGAGAGAGGAAGAGGAGAAGAAGAAGGAGAGGGGGAGGAGAAGGAGAGAGGAGGGGGGAGAAGAAGAGAAGGAAAGAAGAAGAAGGAGGAGGAGGAGAAAAGAGAGAAGGAGGAGAAGAAGAAAGAAGGAAAAGAAGAATGAGGAGGAGGAAGAGAGAGAAGGAGAGAAGAGGAGGAGAAGAAGGAGAGGAGGGGGGGAGAAGAAGAGAAAGGAGAGAAGAAAAGAAGAAGAGTAGAAGGAGAAGAATTAGAGGAAGAAAAATATGGAGGAGAAGAAAAAGAAGAATAGAAAGAAAAAGTAAAAAAGAACAAAAAGAAAGAAAAGAACCGAAAGAAGAAGACGAACGGGTTTTCAGAGAGGCAAAAAGGCCGAACTGGGAGCACAGACCAGCACAAGTTGGCATGGAACCGACAACGGGAAAAGCATCGTCCATTCTCGAACCTTGAACTCTAGCAACTCAGGCGAAAAAGGGGTCGTTAGTGGGGCTAACGAGGCTAATATTCCCCTTCTGCAGCACAGGGAAACTGCCGGGCGTCGAGGAGTACCAGGCGGCTTCGTGAGGGTGTTCGGCGCGATCGGTGGGACACTCCCTAACGGCCTGAGCTGTTGTCGCGCTGGGAACGTTCGTGAAATTGGCCAATCCTGTGGGGCTGAGAACAGGGATTCTCCGTCGGGGAATTTATCCTGTGGGGAGTGAGGTTTTTGTCCGTCCAGAGGTGGTGGGGGGGAGGGGGTTGTGTCAGGATGGTGGGTTGGTGCGGGAGATCTGGGAATTGAAAGCCAGCGAGGGTGTGGAGGTGGAGGCGGAGGGTAAGGATCGACGTATTTTCTTTTTGCCATTTAATCAAGGGGCTACGCGACGAAACGGCGTTTTGGCTGACGTAAAAATGTAGTTTTTTTTAACCATTACAAAAACATAATATTATAAAAAGAAAGAAAAGAAAAAAAACTGTAAGAGTGATAGTGGTAATCCTGGAAGGCGAAGGAACTGACCTAACGTAAAAACGGCAGACAGACAAATACCTAAGATGCCGCGGGCCCCCTACAGGAGTGAGGGGGCCTCCCTTGGGCCACGTGTTCGGCACCCTGTCTTAGAGGAGTGAATCAAGGACATGGGGAGGGTTGCCAGTCACGGACCTACGCGGAGACTGCTTGCAAACAAATCATACGTTCACTGATTAGGTAAACAGATCCATCTCGAAACACAGATGGCGTGGGCGTTGGAAGCTTGATAATTGTGAGAGGAGGTGAGGTGTAGGCGTGCCAATATGTTAATGGAATATAGAATCTTTTTCTTTTTTCCTTTTTCTTTTTTTTTTAGCCAACGGTCGTAAGGTCACGCATGAAGGGTAGTAAAAACGTTTGTTGAGTTCCTTTTGTATTAGCAACGAGAATCAGTTAACGTATATCAACTTCATTTCCATGTATAACAAAATCCTTATCAACGACACGCCCATAAAACGAGAACAAAATGAAACAACTGCCAAACAGCTCGTTCCTACAGGCGGGGTCAATCTCACTCTATACGGTAGTTTTACGTTCCGTGAATTCCCTCATTCGTTCTACTGAAGATGCTTCGCGATTGCATCACCAGACGTGACTTTCCGAGGATTCTTGACGGTCTTCGGGTCGAGCAGAGAAACGAAGCAAGGTCAGCAGAATGCAAGGTCATTTCAGGCCTTAAAAGATTGGTGGTTTCCCGCGAGCTTGCGAATGTGACGTCACGAACAGAGCTTCGAATCATTGCAATCATTTCGCAAGTAGTATAAATAAGTAGGATGCTCAGAGTATCATCTTGCATTCATATATTTCCTTCTAAAATACGTATAATTGATTGACGATGTAAATGGTATGTTTAGGTACAACTTACATATAGATTACAAGTTAGGAATTTTATCAGTACTCTTTAAGCTAATCCGCAAATGCTCACGTCGTGACCTGCGCGAATTGAGGAGATTGGAAAGACTTTATTTACTCTTAATTAACCTTAAAAAAATGAGAGTGTATTTGATTTTAAAGAATTTGCACGTAAAAGGACACCTCTATGCTACTGAAAAACAAAGAAAAAAAAATATATAAAATTTTGACGTTCCCTATAAGCGTTACAACACCCGCTTCACAGACGCTTTAACTTCATTTACTAAAAGGAATCGGAGCGTGGATATGGGCAGTTCGATTCCCCTTTAGGAGGATCAGCGATTCGACCTTGGGATCATAAGAGGATCTGGCGCGATTTTGGGGAGCATCAAAAACAGGGTGGAAGGGAGAGAGTTGCAGGAGATGGAGCGAGAGAGGGGGAGGGGCGCCAGGCAGAAAAGGAAGGGCGGTTTTATGAGGAGGAAAGTGGCTGCTATGAGGAAAACGAGGGAGGGAATGGAGGGAGAATGATGAGGGAAGCGAATGGGGACCGTGAGGGGTAAGGAGGAGCTTGGTGGGATTAAGAGAAATGTGAAGGAGCTGGACGAGGAAGAGTTCGTAAGCGAATTAGGGAGTAAAAGGAAGATGGAATAGAAAGGGAGACAGAGCATAGGAGAGAGCTAGGGAAGGCGAATAAAGGTGCTGTCACACTAGCACCTTTTCCATCAATTTTTTGACAATTTCATTTAACATCAATACAAACATTCTCGAATATAACTCTTGATTTGAATATGCTTGGCTGAAAAAGTTAACGGAAAGGTTTTCAGACGGAAACGATCATTATCGTCTGACTGGAAAATCGACAATTTGCTCAATTTTTGGACACGTTTCCAGAAAATTGTTTAAAAAAAATGACGGAAAAAGTGCTACTGTGACAGCACCTTAAGAAAGAAAGGGAGGGAGAAGAATGGGAAGAAAAAGAAGACAGAATATAGGGAAAGCGAAGGAGGACAATGGACAAATAGAACAATCAACAAAGGAAGAAGGAAAAAAAATGGAGGGAGCGAGGGGAATGAAGAATGTGTGAATGAAAGGATAAAAGAAAAAGGAAGAGGTTATATGAGGGAGAAGAAATGAGGAAAAAGGAGAGAGAGGGAAGGAGGAGATGAAGAAAGAGAGCATAAATTTGTTCGAAGGAGGATTGGAAAAGCCTGATGAAGAGGGAAGAGGAGGGAAGGAAATGAGGAAATGGAGAGGAACGTGGGGAGAGAGGAAGAGGTTTTACGAAAGAGGAGACAGACGAATGAGAAGAAGGGAGAGGTTTGAGTGAGGAGAATGAGGAGAGGAATGAGTAGGGAGGAAGGGGTTTGTTGATCCTGAAGAGAAACCAAAATCATTATCCACATTAATG